TATCGAGGAAGATTATGTATGGGCTATAGAACATAAGGATACGACTTACGACTAATAGGAGCGGAGCACCAACGAGAAATGTGGCAATAACAGGAAAAATATTCCATCTGAGAGCTTCCGTTACGTGCTCTGCGTAAACGGTAAAAGTTACATAAAAATCATGTATGACGGAATTGTTCTAACTTAAAAGTCATATAAAAATTCTGTGACAGCATATGTCTATCTTTTAAGAGTGACCCACTATAACCTTTTCCCTCAAATTAATGCGGGTGTAACCGCAGGGCACCTCTAGTTGGTTTCTATTTCCGTTTTCATCCTGTTTCATTCTCGCTAATTTATCAAACAACCAGATACGGTTTTTTGCTTATGCAAAAAATTGCCTTATGCCAATGTTGACAATCCTAGCGCGACTGCCGAGCGTAGGTTTGCAAAGTGAAGTACATACAGGACATTACCTTCTGTTCACTATATTTTTTGGTATTAGGCAGCACTCGGGGCAGCGTAGGCTAATTCCATCGTATGACGTCATACTGTTTGACAACATACAATATTAGCATTGCCCTTCACAGCACCGAGTTATAACAACTGATTTCATGTTATAGCACATTAGTAAACACCGCCCCGGGCAACTGGCAAAGCCGACGAAATATTATAACAATGAATGTTTTAAATACCGCGCGAACATTAAATAAACAATGTTTCTTCTCGTAAGAAAAGGGTGCTGAACAGGCGAATGGCTCGTTAGATCGGCCAGTATCGTCTATAAAGCTACGGTAGTTCCTAAGCTTTATGGACGATTCGAAAATTATAATACACTAGCGGCAGACCGCGACTTCGTCCGCGTTTGCTTTGGTTTTTGAGAAACCCACAGGACCCTAACAATGTTTCAATTCAGGTCATAAACTATATGCCTACCAAATTTGATCTAAATGCGTTCAGTATTTTTTGCGTGATTGAACAAACAAAAAACCCACTTTCGCATTTTATAATAATACTAGTGGCCCGCCCTCGCTTCGCTTCGGTGTAGAGCTGTAGTGTATACTAATATGACTCTTCATATAATTTAAAAAAATAAATAAATGTGGTGTATTTGCCTTTTCCAAACTTCTATTGACATCACGCCACTCAATTGTTTAGCCTTCCCGGAACTTCTCCACTAACAATTGAAATTTATGGTATGATATTAAAGTTCAAATTGACTTTTAAGTATTATTACAAATTGTTTGTATGGGAGTATAGAAAAGTGTTGTTTTTGGCCTTTTTAGGCATTTTTTTAAATTTTTCTCTGCGTAAGAACCATCCTCGTACTTCAAGGTATATTCTAAAAGAAGAATTATCAAAATCGGTTCAGCTGTTCTCGAGATTTGCGCTTAGCAACACATTCAGCTATTCATTTTTATATTACAGATTATTTGGGATTAAGGAGGATCTAGCTTTGCCTGCCCTGACCCAGCTGTACCCTATGGAGCAAGGCGATATTATGAGTGGAGGTCAATGAAAATATTTTTTTTGAAGCATTGGGTTCTAGAATTTTGCTATAATTAAGAATTAGAATCAGAAGGGGATATTTTACTTTAATGTTTGACCTAAATTCAAAAAGCCAGCAAGGACCGCCTCCGAGTTTTATTTATCGTAATAAAGATAAAATTCAAAGTGACAGGTATCTCGATGTTTTTCACGAATTAGAAAACTTGAAGGAGGGGTCGTTGTGCGAAAGTGCATTGTCCTACAATCTTCATCATGTCGGCCTGAAACCAATTCTCCTACCTTGGGAAATTACTTTACCTAAAACTCAAATAATATCTCAAATGATAGAAAATGCGTCAGTCTGTCTCAGCGATGCGCGACTGCGAATAATTTTACCTTTCGACTTATTCGTAACTACTTATTTGGCTATTCGATATGCAAAGTAGTACTATACCAATGTCATTTTTCGAACATCGACTACTAATTAGTAATACTAATGCCAAATGTCGTTGCGTGCGACGCGCGCCGCCTGATTCCTTCGATTCCAGTCGAATGATATAAAGCGCAGTAGACTTAGTCGAATGATATAAAGCGCAGTCGACTTAATCGAATGATTCGTGGAGTCGAATGATTAGTATTAGTTTTATTCGAAGTCGCGCATCGCTAGTCTGTCTTTCTGTCTTTTACCTCTTCACGCTTAAACCGCTGAACCGATTTAGATGAAATTTGGGATAGATAAAGTTTGAGTTTTGGGAAAGTACATGAGATAGTTTTTAGCCTAGAAATTATCCTGAAAGACGGTGTAAAGAGGGATGAAAGTTTGTATAGGAAAACAAATTCGCGACGCAGAATAAGTCACCGGACACCCTCTAGGAGAAGAATATAAAAATAATGATAAATTGGCAGAATTCCTCTCTTCAGCCTATCCCGTGTGAAATTATGACGTCATTGACTCCATGCGCACGAGCAAGTGCGTCGCAAGCTGTTAAAATTGGTGCGGATGCACTACTCATAGACCGTTTCAATACTAGAGCAAACAACGTATTTTCCAATTTCCGTCCATCTGGATTTACTCATTGACTTTTAGTTATTTGTTTCATTCACATTGTTGTTTTGATGACTGAACTCTATTGCTTTTTTGGTCACTGGGGAAAATGTTGACCTCCAACTTTGTTTATAAAAAAAATTTGACAATTCAACATAATAAAAATACCATCTCAATAGTGTCGCCATTTCCAAATTAGGCAAGATTTGCTGAAGAAATAATTGATTTAATAATACTAACTAATAAATGCCTAAAGGGACTCCTTTAAATAATATATTTTAGTTATCAATTTTATTTTTTATGGTTTTCAGTTTTAGTTTTATTGTTCTTGTATTTATATATAGAGTAATTTGATCTAATTTATTGAACATTATTGAGAGAATTAGGCGCTTGAAGTTGTGCATATTATCGTTTTTTCCGTAAACTAGCTGCGGTAAAACGATCAGTACAAAAAAAAGATTAAATCTTTGCGCTAGATGACCCTATTTGGAAAAAGCTTTTAAATGGTTAATAAATGTTCTATTATATTAACACTAGCAAACCATTGAACCAAATGTTCACCAAAACCTGATTTCTCGAAAACCGGAAGTGCTACGTTACTCAAATCCGGTTTGTAGTCTTATCAGACTATTCTTAACTTATAACTTAAATATTCTCTTTATCTATCTCTTACGGTTTGGCCGCTGAAACAGCACCACAGACAGACGGACTTGTCTAATAGATAAGCATGTTACTATATCTGAGCGCAGCCCGATAATTCATTATGATAGAAGTAATTCAAATTTTGAAAGCTAATGTTAGCGTATTCTGTACCAAAGCTGCAGAAAGCTTCATCGCTCAGTAGTGGGAGAAGCATAATGAAAACTAAATGTATTTGCAGGTCGCATTGCATTCACTGTCATGACGTTATCCGTACTATTTATGTCACACTAACTATAATGTGCTTCGCGGTGGTGTAACCGTTTCCATAAACTTATAGAGCTTCATTACTTTATGGTGATGGGCATATTAAGTTACTTTGTAAGCAAAGTTTAAAGCTAATATGAGGCCGATCCATACTACCAATATCGGTAAGCATTGTTTCACATAATATGTACTGGGATACCGATGAACTAGGTCAATGTTTGGTAATTAAGCAAGTACGAAGAAATTTCGTATTTAACAACACGATATAGGGTTCAATTTGCAGATAGCTTACTATATTGAAGGTAAACTACAAGTTTCCACTTAAATAATGCTGAACTAATTCTATTTATACAATAATGTAATCATTCATTTATTTCCTGTAAAGTAGACCCAGTATTTTAGTAACAATTTTAATGAAATCGAACTTTTTTTTATACCGTATTTTATTTTTACCTCACAACCTGTTTACAATTTTTTTCTACATAAAAACGAAAATCTCTAGAATTTTAAATTAAGATTTCTATAACAATATACTTTTACGTTTTTAGTTACTTTATTCCATCGATAAATAACTCTATACCAAAACTCATTACAGAACAAAATGTTGTAGTATTAAGTTACGGAACGATACGAAGCGTGTTCACTCACGAACTGCCGGCATGACTCTGAGAAAGGCTGGTCGCAACCTGGCTGCATTAGTGATCATAGATTTAGTGCGCAAGCGCTCATAGCAAACTATACGTATAATGCGATTCAACTAAGAATAGGACCGACTGGGCTCCATATTGTGATTTCATAGCTGTCAATTCAAACGTAATAGGTAGAGTGAGCAAAAAAAAGTTTTTATATAATCAAACTTATTTATTAAGATGAGATGATTAAGTGAGAGAAAGCATCAGATTTTTAAATAACATTTTTTTACTAAGGTTGAGAAAAAATACACCGATTTTTAATAATATTTATTTATTAAGACTGTGAGAAAAGACATTTATCAGAATCTAGCTCTTTTATTCCGCTCATCTCTGCATTACTGCCGGGAGTAGTTATGAATAATCATGCACTATTAGTAGTTTGGTATTAGTAGTATTAGTAGTTTAGTAGTCACATACGAACATGCATCCGTAAAGAAAGTTTGAATTCGAGTTTTTGAACGCAACTTAAAGTGACATTTGGTTGACGATTTAGGTTATCAACCATTCACGGCCAAAGCTCAATAATTCAAAAAAAATATCAACCGATATTAATTATCAATATTTGTTATTGTTTGTTTACAAATGTTTGGTTTATATTCTTGAATTAGCCGAGTGCTAAAAAAGGGTTCCAAGTTTTTTTGTAAACCGTACTTTTCAAGCGACATTTGACAGACAGAGGTCATTGGCTTTCCTATTCTTATTTGAATCGCATTATAAGGCCAGTGTGCGGCCAGTTGGGGTTTGCGGGCAAGTGCGCGACGTTCACAATGGTTTCTTAATTGATATAGTCGTTACTGTCACTAGTCGTCGCCGTCCAGTGAGCGAGGTGCCTAATAGTAGTTTTATTTTAAACTCACCACTATAAAAGATATTTATCTCTTTTTTTCCAGGCATAGTGAACCGCGGCGACTCGTTCCGGCGTCGGCGGTCGCGGTCCGGCAGCTTAGCACCATCCTCTCCGGCGCAGTCTGCGCCCGAACCACAGGAGCGCAGGCCAGTCGCCTGCCACAGAGTAGCGATGGTGGGCGCTCCAGGGGTCGGAAAGACTGCGCTCATCAGTCAGTTCCAGACCAGCGAGTGCATCAACGCGTACGACAGACAACGAGGTGGTGAGCTAATTCACAATTTACTTTTTCTTTATTAAGAGCACAATAGCCACAGGGTAGCGACAGCAAGACGCCATCCATCAGCCCGTTTCTAGGCCAGCGAATGTACCAATGCGTAAGATAGAAAACGAGGTGTTGAGCTGATTGAATGAATGAATGATTTATTTATTTCTCTTACAAAGTCACAAAGTAACATTATAATTACAAAAGGGTATTGAATTACAATAACGGTAAAACAATGCAGTTCTTTGAGGGAGCTGGAGATTGTACTAGGTTACAAAACCTCATTCAAAGATTCATAATTAACTTCTTTTTTTTATTAAGAGGAAACTAGCGAAATCCCACAGGGCAGTGTCGGCAAGACGGCACCCATCAGCCAATTCCAGACCAACGAATGCATCAACGCGTACGACAGACAAAAGTGTAACTGTCTGTTGTTTTTTTCTATATGCAGTAACTAAGACGATAGAAAGAAGTATAGGGTTTTTCAACAAGAACTTTGTTTTCTAAAACAAAATAAAACAAAAAATTTAGATGGCGATGATTAAAATTTTCATTGAATTACAAAGAGAAAAGTTCGGCAATTATGAATGAAAAATTATATCTGGCAAATGTCCACCACGAGCATGCTGGCAGATGTCGATTCTTTCATCAAAGTTTTTAATCACTTTTTGGCAAAATGGCGGGACTATTTCGTTAATCATATCACGGATTTTGAGTTTTAAGGCTGCAATCGATTCGATTGTCTTCATGTAGACTCTGTCCTTAACATAGCCCCACAAACAATATTCCAGTGGTGTTTAAATGGATCTGGCTGCTCAGTTAACAGCTGAGTTTCGTGAAATTATGCGATCGGGAAATTAGGTTTGCAATAAATTGATCGTTTCATTGGCTGTGTGACATGTGGCACCGTCCTGTTGAAACCACATGTCAGTGATATACACGTCATTAATAATAGGTCAAAATTGAGTCGTTAATATCTCGCGATCCATTGACCGTTACCGCATTTCCAGCCTCATCTTCGAAAAAAACGGCTCAATCACGCCTCCAGGCCACATAGCGCACCATACAGTGACACGTTGAGCATGCAAAGGCTTCTCAATAATCGCTCTAGGATTTTTAAAAGCCCAAATGCGGCAATTTTGCTTGTTGACAAGTGAAATTGGGCTTTGTCTGAAAAAATGTTTTTTTTCAGAAAAAACACCGGGTTATACCTGAATGAATTGAGCGAATCTACAGCGATGTGAATGGTCGGTCGGCTTCAATGCCTGCACCAGTTGAATCTTGTAAAACTTCAAAGTCAAATCCTTACACAAAATTCGCCACGTGGTGGTTTTGGATAATCCCAATTGTTGAGAACGTCGAGGAATTGACAAATTTGGATCTGCTTCAACACTGTAGCTCACATCTGCGATTTTTTCAGTTGAACGACCCAGTCGAACACGCGTTGGTGTTGGCATATTTTGTATCGAGCCTGTCGACTCAAATTTAACAACCAAATTCTTAATAGCGGTCTCAGAAGGACGATTATGTTGTCCTAAAATATCACGAATTTGACGAAATGTAACTTTAACAGAACCACCATTTTCATAGTGGATTTCAATTATTTTAATTTGATTTTCAAGCGAAATTGTAACAATTGCCAATGCATCTACTACGAATACGCCAAAAAACTAAATGTCAAAACTATCATGTTGCTTGTATTGACACAATTCAAAAACAAAGTTCTTGTTGAACAACCCTATATTTAGCTAGTTCAGTTTGGGTGTACATTTGTACAACTCTAGAAAGTTATAACATCGTGTATAGCCACAATACAGAATTTAACCAGAGGGATAGCTCCTGATATCCTAAAAAACAATATCCTAAACTTACCGCTATTGATTTTGACAATATGCATCGCTATCCCGCATAAATTGTGCTTGAAATTGCGTGAGAATGAAACGTAACCTCAATATCTGCAATAACACTTTGTTCTAAGCTTGTTGCTTGAGTGCGGCGGTTACGTAGCTTAAGGTATAACTAAGAATAAATGGTAATAATTTAAATTATCCATGGATTCCAGAGATTTTGATCGATCATGCATTATTTTAAAAAAGTTTCGTGGAATCAGACAAATATTGTCCCACAGCCCATTTCAATTACACGGAGAAAACAGAGGGATGATTATAGCGACATGGAATAATGCCTCGAGAGTTGCATATAAAAAAACAAATAGGAAAATATACCTTTGTTATTGTTGGGCGCGAGTGTGGGTACAGCCATTTTGTTTTCACCACCGTTCGCCCACCATTTTGTAATTCGAACTTTTTTTCGCTGGAAACTAAGCAGAGAAGCGTAACATATACAGCCAACAGCTGACAGCACCTATAAAAGCTTGTTAAAAATGGTAAAGTTAAAGCTTGTTGTAAGTAGAGTTAATACTACTTTATTTTCGTGTATTGCCAGTGGTACAGTTGTCTGGAAATACGTTTCTGAAGTGAAATAAAAACTGGCGAATGTGTTACGATTTCGTGTTACGATTAATGTCATCGGTGACTCACCGGTAAACAATGAACAATACCCGTCACAATATACATGAATCTAGTGCTTAACGGACCCAGCGCGGATTGGTAGTGATAACGGAATCAGTGCGGATGGGTTAGTGATAATGGACCCAGTGCTGATTGGAGGGTGATAACAGACCCAGCGCGAATTGGTGGGTGACAATGGACCCAGTGCGGATTGGTAGGTGATTACGGACCCAGTGCGGATTGGTGGGTGATAATGGACCCAGTGCTGATTGGAGGGTGATAACGGACCCGAGGAGCTCAATGGCGCAATGGTTAACGCGTTCGGCTGCGATCGTTGAAGTAAAGCAACTTTCGCAGTGGTCGGTCATTGGATGGGTGACCAAAAATGTACTATCTCGAGCTCCTCCGTGCTTCGGAAGGCACGTTAAGCCGTTGGTCCCGGCTGCATTTGCAGTCGTTAGCACCTACCAATCCGCACTGGGCCCGCGTGGTGGGTCACGGCCCAAACTCTCTATTCATTTCTATTCCATCCATAGAGAAGGCCTGTGCCCCAGCAGTGGGGACATTAATAGGCTGATGATGATTGGATCCAGTGCGGATTGGTGGGTGATAACGGACCCAGCGCGGATTGGTGGTTTTTTTTCTATGAAAAAATCTTCAGGTTAAGTTTATGATTTTCAGATCATTGAAGCTAAAGAAGTTTCACTTCAGTAGTGTGGTCATAAGCACACTCTATCTTTTATAATTTTTTAAAGTTGCTAGAAGTTTAAATCTAAAGAAAATTTCCCTTCAAGAATATCTTCAACTCTGTATTATGTTTTGGCCTTTATATATGTTTTTATCATTCACTTTTATTATCATCTAGAATCTAGAAAATATTTTAACCGGAGGTCACTTCAATTTACTCCAAATAATTAATTTTATAGTTAAATCACTGCTACATAACCACATTAAGATCCCGTGCTCAGCTACGCTATTAGCAAGTCTAAACATGTCAACTATGTTACTTCATAGGCGAAAACAGAACATTGTTTGTTAGTGACTTCACTCCAAGTTCATCAATTATGTAAATCGGAAATTATTGGACCGTCTCAACAGTCCGTAATCCCTGTGAACGTCAACGAAGTTTAAACTTTTTTTTTAGAGAAAAATGAATAGAATAATCTTGCTGACACCATCGTGAGACCTTTAGCTTCTTCTGACGGCTGCTTAAGTAATTACGCAAAAGATTTTCGACAAAGGAGGATAATTTGTAATTGCCGACGAAATTCGAGTGTTGAAGACCTTTTTAATGAAAAAAAAAACGATGATTATTTATGATTTACCTTTGGGTTGATTACATTTTAATAAATTATTGCTTAGGAAAATTTGAGGGGTGAAGACTTTTTTGTGAAAATAAAGACGTCAGTTTTATTCAAGATAATGACAATGTTATGAAAGAAGAAAGAAAGAAAGAAAATCATTTATTGGTTACACAGCATAGGTAGGTACATTAAAAACAAAACAGAAATATAAAAAAATAAAAAAAAAAATGTGTGCGTGTACTAGTGTACACACGTAAGAAGTGAAACTTCTTTATGGCCTTATTTTTCGAAAAATGATCTACATGCAACTTTCCAGAAATTGGTTAAATAAAGTTAAATTAGATAAAGTTTAAACAAAAGGATTTTATTATCATAGACATGAATACAAATTACTGCCTATGAAACTGTTATGATTACACGGCTCAGTAATCTAAGGCACATGTTCCACCTCCGACGATGAACGATAAGCGAGTAGAAACTAGAAACGAATTGGCAGTCCTGAGTTAAAATGCACGCGCACGGCTTTTGACAGCCAAGCCAGCTTAACCGAGCGAGTATCGCTGAGCTAGTATCGCTGAGCGAGTATCGCTGGGCGAGTATCGCTGAGCGAGAATCGCTGAGCGAGTACCGCTGAGCGAGTATCGCTGAGCGAGTACCGCTGAGCGAGTATCGCTGAGCGAGTACCGCTGAGCGAGTATCGCTGAGCGAGTATCGCTATGCGAGTTTGGCTGAGCGAGTCTTATCTTTAATAACTATTGTCACTCAGCTACAAACGAGTAGAGAGAGTTCTCGCCGGCGACAGTGTGATCATTCAGCTATCAACTATTAATATAAAAAAAGATGGCGCGTAACGGAAAAATGTGACGCGTAACCGAAAAATGTGACGGTAAATTTTTTTCCAACGCCGATAAAGAAGTTTCACTTCAAAAACTATAACCACAAATAAAAAACAAGAAAACTAAATTCAGGTGCTGCTGTGCAGAGCCAACAGTTCGCTGTCTCAGTTATGCTACTGTGGTAGTACTTCCGCAATACCACAGCAGCGCTGATTTTCAGCCAGCGCCTAGTGATATCCGAAACGCCAAACAAAATGCGACTATACATACTCGCAGATTTTAAAATAAAAGAATAAAAAATAATAATAATAAAAATAAAAACGTCAAATAGTAAATTTTGTTCTATAAAT